GGAATCGCCTCTCCAAAAAACACAAATCTTTGCCACCTTTGCCTCCAAAGAGCATTCTGGTTGCACTTTTTGCAAGACAAATCTGGGTTTTTTTGTAGTTCATGAGATATTCACAGACTCTTCTGAAACACCACAATTAAAAGGCATAAATCCTTCTATCATCCTTATTCACTGTCCTACTCTCAGATGCAAAGCAAGTAATTAAAATGACCATGGCCTAAATCAGGGACACATCGGTCTTCAGACTGACACACCACTGCCAATATTTTGGAGAGAAGCCTGCTTTTGTATAGAAAAGGGGCCTTGATACATGCACATTTAGAGTGAAAGACTAATAAATGGTCAGAGAACAACATTTCCAACATATTCAATAAAATAATGGATTCCTAAAGATAATTTTTTAACAATAGTTTTTACAAAGGTATTTGCCATGAATCAGTCACTGGTCATAAAAAAATTCTATCATCCTATCCCTAGCCTTGTTTTACCAACCACCAATCTATCTTCTTTGTTTCCAAATTCTGCATTCCAATCATTCCTTTTTTTTTTCATTCCTTCTTATTAATGAACTCTGCAAGTTTGATTAATATCAAACTATAGAAGTCAGTAGAAATTCCTAATTTATTCATCTTTGGCTTTACCAGTTTGGATATAAATCTGAATGACAGTCATACTAACAGAGCTTCCTTTTATGGACATGATCCTATTATTGACACCATTGTTGAAGCTAAAAAAAAAAAACCCAAAACTAATCCTAAAACTAGCTGACCTGAGTAAAACAGAAATTAACTATATCACATTTGAATTCTGAAACCCTCTACAGATTTGATGCACTAAAACCCAGTTACTATACACTAGATGAGGTTTTGTGATGATGTAAGGCCATGTTACATAAAGAAAACAAAATATCACAATTAAAATGACATTTTATTTTTTAAAAAGAAACCAAAAATTATTAAAAATATATTAAAGAAATTACCAAAATGTATGTCAGAACAGACTGGAAAACATCCTCTAGAATTCAGAGAAGCTAAAGTAAATGGAGGAAATAATGAAAAAAGAGAATTGGACAGACTTTAAAGACAGCTCAAGACAAAGTAAACTATTATAATGAAATATGCAAAGCCTTGGGGTGAAAAATCAAAAAGAAAGGACAGTTTGGCATTGTTCAAGAAGAAATAAGTGAAGAAAAATGTCAAGCCTCGAGCTGCAGTAGTGAAAAATTCCATGGGTAAAATATTGAAGGGTAGAGAAAGAACCAAAAGAACAATCACTGCACCAAACTAAGCACAACAAAAGACCCTAAACATTGTAACAAACAGAGGAAGACTCTGAAATCTGAAAGATGTAGGTTTGAAAAAGGGACACAAGTTAGATAACTCAGGACCCAAGAATGATAAAGAAAGAAGTGAGTTCCTCAGATTTTCATTTTATCTAATATATTCCTGACTTGAAGCTAGAGAAGTCCACAACCCTAAATGCCCAAAGGCAAAATTAAGAAACAAACAAAAAAATCCAGCCCCACAAAAGCCTATTCTCCCTAACTAAAGAAACAGGGGCAGCTTAGTGAGACAGAATTCTCTTAAGTAACTGGGTAGAGGGAACATCCAAATCTGTGACCAGCAGACAAAATGTTAATGTCATGTGGACTTCCAAAGCTGTGGCTAGTGTTTGATTTTTTGGTAAATGGTTCCATTTAACTTGCAGGTCCAAGTGATGAAGGACAGAGAAAGAAGTGCTACAAATACTGGTGGTGGTATCTGAATTCTTGAGCTAACAGCTAATGCCCTGTCAGAGCACTGAAACTTGTGTGATCTCACCTACCTCCAGATAGTGTCAAAGGAACAGAGCTGCATGGGCAGCTGATTCCAAAGAAATGAAAACATGAAGACCTGTTATATCTTCATAGTTAAGGACAGAATACAGGATTCTACCATTCCCACATAATTTGATGTCAGTGGAATTCACTAGCATGCATAACAAGGATATTTTGAAGGAAATTCAAAACTCAACAAGTAAAAAAAAAAAAAAAGAGTCAAATTAGATGGCAGGCAAGACATTAACAAATATAACACACATTTCACTGAAGAGGATACAGAAGGCAAGCAGTATATGAAAAGATGTTTAGCAATATTTACCACTGTTGTTGTTGTTGTTGTTATGTGCCGTCAACTCGCTTGCGACTCACAGTGACCCTATGTACAACAGCCCTAAACCCTGCTCTATCCTGTGCCAATCACACTGCCTCTGACACACCCATCCCAAATCACTGAATCAATCCACCTCATCAAGGGTCTTCCCCTCTTAAGTCGTCCCTCCAGCCTCCCAAGCATGATATCCCTGTCCAAGGACCTTTCCCTCCTTACAACATGTCCAAAGTATGTCAGAGGAAGCCCCAGAATCCTTGCCTCCAAGGAGTTGCTTGGTTTAATCCTCTCCAGGATGAATCTGTTTGTTTTCTTGGAAATCCATGGTACCCTCAATACTCTTCTCCAGCACCACAGCTCAAAGGCGTCAATTCCCCTTCTCTCCTCCCTAGTCATTGTCCAACTCTTTGATGCATAACATGTGATAGCAAAGACCATGGCCTGTATCAGATGCACCTTAGTCTCCAAACTGATACTATTGCTCTTCAGTACCCTGAAAAGGTCCCTAACAGCAGACTTTCCCATGGCAATATGTTTTTTTTTATTTCCTGGCTGCTCGTGCCAAAAGTGTTGACCGTGGAGCCAAGCAGACTAAAGCTGTGAGCAATCTCAATCTCTTCACTATTCATCTTGATGCTGCCAATTGGTCCAGTGGTGAGAATCTTTGTCTTCTTGACATTGAGCCTCAATCCATATTGAAGGCTGCAGTCCTTAACCCTCTGCAGCAAGCATTTCAGGTCCTCCTCAGTTTTAGCAAGCAGGGTGTGTCATCTGCGTAACACAGATCGTTAATAGATCTTCCACCAATCCTGACGCCACACTTCTCCTCATACAGCCCAGCCTCTGGGATAATCTGTTCTGCATACAGGTTGAAAAGGTATGGAGATAGGACACATCCCTGGCGTACACCTTTCCCAATTTTTAACCATGCAGTGTTTCCCTGCTCTGTTCTGATGACTGCCTCTTGGTCCAAGTAAAAATCACTGTCTCCAAGTAAAAATCACTGTCACCAAGTTGGTTCTGATTCACATGCTATCATAGCTAAGTTGTTATAATAAAAATTATTATAAATTTAGGAAGAAAACAGAAATATCCTTGGTAACCACTAAGAAAATAAAAAACTATGCCAAAACCCATTGCCATGAAGTCAATTTTTTTTTTTTATTTCAATGAACATTTACAAAGATTTTGGATTTCCATTCATGAAGTCAATTCTGACTAACAGCAATCTTGTATCAGCTAACTCTTTATGGACAAGCAGACTGCAAAAGATACCAAGGGGGAAGAAAAATACAACACTGAAAAAGAATTCCTATTAAAGGAACAAAAGATTTAAGATATATATAAAATAAATAGCACAATTATTACTATAAATGTAAGTTTATTAACCTTATCAATTAAAAGTTATTATTAGCAAAGTAGATTGTTGTTATTGTTGTTGTTTGCTTTCGAGTAGAGCAAGACTCATAGTGACCCAATAAACAAAAGGCCGGAAGACTGTCTACAACTATCAACATTTATCAAAGTTCACAGAGTTTAACAACCATGGTCCAACTATATATTCTGCTTAAATCATATCTACTTGAGACTAGAAGGCAAAAATAGGTTAACTGTGGAAGGATAGGGAAAAGGTATTATTGGCAGATTTGGGTTACAAATGAGATCCCTGCCTAACTGTGTCATTAAGTCTAGGTGTAATTTGTAGGTGCATACATTTCTTATTCAATTTCTCCTTAGTGCAAAAAAAGGTGCAAGCAAAGTCTTTTTAATCATTTCAAAGCTACATATGCAGCAAGTGAAGGTGATTAAGATGAATTTGCTGTGAGTTGAGACTGGTACAGTAATTTAAAAGTTAAGGCAAATAATCATAACATTAAAGGGCAAGTACAGCATTTATAACCTCAGGACTGACTGCTTTGCATACAAATAGTGAACAGAAGAGTTGTTTTGTTACTGGTTGCAGCCAAGTTAGAATGCTCTAGCTAACCCTCTGGAACTTTTCAGAGGCAGTAAACTGCATGGAAGGAGAATGCCCATCCTTCTCCCATGGAGCAGCTGGTGGATTCAAATTGTGCTGCTTTGGGATTCCAGTGTACTAATCAATAAGAAGGTTTCCAAGGCTGTAAAGGCTATCTCTTTTGTGTGATTTCACATTATCTCCTTAACTGTCTTTTAGGAAGCTCTGGTGGCTAAGTAGTAAGAAATAATCCCAAGGAGTAAGAAGCAATCTCAAAACGGTACAATTCTATTCCACCAGCTGCTCCATGGGAAAAGGGTTTCCAAGGATGGAAATCTTTATGAGCACAGATTACCCCATCCTCCTCCTAGAGGGAAGCTGGTAGATGACAGTGGTCAGAATAATCTTAAATCAATTATCTCACTTTATAGCTTAAGAAACTAGAAAAACATGAGTACACTAAACACAGAGTCAACATAATATCTTTTGAGATTTTATTTTAAAAAAACAATATTATTTTTGTTAGTACAAATGGAGGAAGACAAGCCTAATGAGAACAAATGCAAATGACTCTACAGGCCAGGAGCTCTATAGCCTAGTAGAGAGGGAGTTGTACTGTCAAAAACGCAGGTGGTCTGTACCCACCAGTTGTCTATGACAGAAAGATGAGCCATATACTCCCATGCAATTTACAGCCTCTGAAAACCACTGGAAGGTCAGCTATGATGGAACTGAGGGAGAGAAGACCTGTAAAAATAAGGACTTCCCATTAAACATCACAATCTAAAATAATACTATGAAAAAAAAATTTCTGTTCTTTCAAGTAATCATTCACTTGTGTTTACTTCTGTTACAACAGTACTAATAATACATTCTATTTTATACATGTTACTTACTGTGGTGTGATGGGATATATTGCCACCAATGTTGAGGTTTTTGAGCAGTTGGGGAGAACCACTATACTGTCCAGAGATCTGCTTCCTAACTTCAGCTGCCACAGTTCTATAATAAAGACAAAAAATGCAATATTAAAACAAACAAAATAAGAAAAAGCACACTCTGGTTTAAAATGGGAGAAACTAAGCATATTAAAGTCTCCTTTAAAGAATAACAGTATCACAGCATTATCAATTAAAGATATAAACTTATAAAATGTTTTATTATATACCTTCTAAGTTTATTATTACAGTAGGACATCTTTATAATCTTTATAATCTTGATATATTGTATATGAATGACAGCCAAGATCACAAGATATGGGCAGATAAAAAGGACTACTTCCATAACCACGCACAGATCTGGCAGATATCTACACTCATATTAGTATATATAGACATCTATGTAAGCTTCACAACCAACTATCCAGAGGGAATGATTGTTGGTTGTCACAGAAATCAGTGTCAAGCAACTGTATGGGTACAAAGCAGAATATTTCATTAGTCCTAAATCCAGTAACTGAGTAGCTTTTTCATTGAATTAGCAACATTTTTACCCTAGAATAGATATTACTCAAGAACACAAAATAAATACACTTTCAGAAGCTATGTTGCAATCTCACAGGCAAGTAGTTCTAATCCACATGGGAGAAGGATGGCGATCTCCTCTCTTGCAATTTACTGCCTCTGAAAATCCACCAGAGGATTGGCTATGATTCGAGTCAGACTCCATGGCAAACACCAGTTTCAGTAAATCTTCTGCTATGATCTTTCTGATGAAAATCAACAGGCAATGTTTTTCTTTTCTATAACCTGCTTTTAGCTTTTTCATTATTTTCCAAAACATAAACTTTAATTTCTTCCTGTTGTTCCATTTCCCATTGTTCTATAAAGTGATACTGAACTAACTGTGTATTTTTTGAGCCAACTGGACAATTGGTTTGCACTCTTGTGTGTTTTGTAAAAGAGCTACGGTGGCATAATGTGTAATGTGTTGGGGAGCTAACCAAAAGGTCAGTAGTTTGAACCCACCAGCTGTTCTGTGGGATAAAGAAGGAAAGTCTCTTCCCTTAAAGATTTATAGCCATGGCAACCTGATAGAGGGTCACAATGAATAGAAATTATCTCAACAGCAGGAGATTGTTGGTCTTGAATCTAACAGTTTAATATAAAGCCCTTTTATCATGATCCCCATTAGAATTTCCAGTTGAGTATCAAGATAGCCTCATTATCCAGATATACGATATAATCATTTTTCTTCTCTCCTGCTTAATTTTCTCTTTCATAATTAATCATTCTACACACATTTACTAAGCAGAATTATGTGCAAAGTCCTCTAGTAGAAAATTCTGAAACAAACAAACAAAAACACCCACCACCTGTCTGTCATTCATAACTTTAAGGATCAAGTCACCAAATTAGCTGGAATGTGTTTACAGGTAAGGTGTTACCTTTCTGCTATTAAATGAAAGGCTGCTGGTTCAATCCCACTCAAAAATACCTCAGAAGTAAGCCTTGGTGATCTACTTTTGTGAGGTCACTAAAACACTAACACACAATTCCACTTTGCAGCCCATGAGGTTTGCCAGAAGTCACAATCAAATCAACAGCAATTGGTATGTTTTTGGGTTCTGTGGTACTTAAGATCTATGGAGGGGAGTTCTAGTGGTCTAGTGGCAAGAAGTTACACTGCAATTTCAAAGGTATGCAGTTCGGATCCACTCGCTGCTCAGCTAGAGAAGGAAGGGCAATCCCCTCCTGGCCAGTTGGATCGGATTTGACAGCACACAAGTAAAATTTAAAAATAATAACTTTTTTTTAAAAAAGGAGATATCATTTCACATAAATCTGCAGTCACATTATCAGGAGGGATTAATCCCTGGAGAAAGGCAACATGCTTCATAAAGTAAAAAGTCCATGAAAAAGACAAAGACATAATAGATGGACCAACAAAGAGGTTTAACAATGTGCTCGAGCACAGGGGCTATTAAGAAAATGGAGCAAGACTGGGCAGCATTTCACTCAGTTCACAAGGTTTCTGCGAGTCAGAACTAACTTAATGGCATCTAACAACAAGATTATGTATGTATTTTAAAAGACACTGGAGAAAACACGAGAAGAATAAAAGAACTTGGAAAAAATTAAAGCTGAAAGCTAGACAGAATAAAATCTTTGAGGAAAAGGGCAAAGGGTAAATATTATAACTTTGGTTTAGCACCTGTTTGGCTTTCTGCAAAGAGCCCTGATGATGCAGTGATTTAAGTGTTCAGCTACTAACCAAAAGGTCTGAAGTTTGAATGTGCAGCACTTCACAGGAGAAAGATGTGGCATTAAGTTTCTATAAAAACTATAACTTTTGAAAATTGTACTGGGTAATCATACTCTGTCCCAGTGTCACTTACAAGTTGAAATGAGCCAGACAACCATGGGTTGGGTTGGATCTGGTTTTCTTTAGTTCTTTTACTGATGTTTATAACTCAAAAACATTCAACTTACTTTCATCAAATCAATTCTAATTCAGAGAGACCCTCCACTGGGTTTCTGAGGCTACAAATCCCAACAGGAAGAGTTGGCTTATCTTTCTCTGGTAGAGGCACTGGTGAATACAAATTGCTAGACACATGCCCTTTGCTTAGCATGGTAGATTACTCCACTGTTGTTGTGTACCATCAAGTCAGAACCAACCTATAACGACCATCCAAGAGATTTTCAGAGGCAGTAAATTACAGGAGATTGTCTATCCTTACGCCTAGGAGCAGCTGGTGGATCCAAACCACATGCCTTTGGGATTGCAGTGCAGCAACTCTGATAAGGGTCCTTAGTGAAATCTACAAATATTTGTTGTTGTTGTTGGTTACTATCAAGTTGGTACCAACCCAAAGATGATCTTCCAGTGGATTTTCAGAGGCAGCAAATTGCATAGAAGGAGACTCCTCATCTTTCTCCCATGGAGTAGATTCATGTAGTGTGCCTTTGGTTTGGCAGCATAGCTCCTTAGCAGTAAGTCATCAGAGCTCACTAGCGAGTATAATTAACAATAATTTTTTATCATGTGTGAAAATAATATTGCAGTAATAACAAAAAAGTCATTTTCAAATTATACTACTCCCCTTAAAGTATCCAGTTATTATTATTATTAGTAGTAGTAGTAGTAGTGGTGGTGGTGGTGGTGGTGGTGGTGGTGGTGGTATTATTAATCTTTTCGTAGGAATAAGGTGCCCTGGTGAGGATAAGAAAATACTGGGAAAATCTGAAGTTAGGGACCTCTCCAAATTATTGAGGAGTAATGATGTCAGTTTGAGGACTACTAATTATGTGTCTGTTTCAGGCCATAATTTTGCTGTACATCTGAGAGCTGGACAAATAAAGATGACAGAAAAAGAATTGATGCCTTTGAGTTGTGGTGTTGGAGAAGAGCACTAAACATCCCATGGATGGCCAAAAGAACAGATAGGTCTTGAGAGGTTACAGCTGAGTGCTCTCTGGAAGCAAGAATGATGTTGCCAGGAGGGCCATTCCTTGGAGAAAGACATGATGCTGAGAAGGGTAGAGAGGTGAGGAGGGAATGGAAGACACTCAACAAGGAGGTCTGATGTGGTATCTGCTACAATGGTTTCATGTGTGTCAGGAAGTGGAAGGATGGCACAGAATACAACAGGGTTCAGACCTTTCATTCATAGGGTCTCAATGAGTCGTACTTGACTCAATGACACCTAACTAACAACAGAGGTGCTGTACTTAAAGAGCTCAGCTGCTAACCAAAAGATGTTGACAGCTTTAACCCACCAATGAAGAATTATGTGTCAGTTCACTTCCATAAAGATTTATAGCACTGGAAGCCCTGTATTAAGTTAAACACTGCAGCCTTCAATATGGACTGCATCTCAATGTCAAGAAAACAAAAATCTTCAACACTGGATCAACAGACAACATCATTATAGATGGAGAAAAGACTGAAACTGTCAAGAATTTCATCATATTTGGATCCACAATCAATACACTTGGTATCAGCAGTCAGGAGATACAATACACTGGGAAAGTCTGCAGTCAGGGAGGGACCTCTCCATACTGAGGAACAATGATGTCAGTTTGAAGTAAGGACAAACATGTGCAATGGTCTTTTCAGTCACTTGCTAGGCATCTGAGAGCTGGGCAATGAATAAGGAAGATAGATAATGTCTTTCAACTGTGGTGTTGGAAAAGAGTACTGATTATCCTATGGACTGTCAAACTACCAACAGGTATGTCTTGGAGAAAGTAGGGCCAGAGAGCTCCTTAGAGGCAAAGATGATAAAGCTTTGTCTTACATACTTTAGGTATGCTGCTAGGAGAGGTTATTCTTTAAAGGAGGACATCATGCTTGGCAAAGGAGACAAAGACCTTCAGCCAGGTGGACTGTCACAGAACAGGCAGGAATTGTCTTAAGTGTCAGAGATGATGAGGATGGGACAGGTTAAGAGTTCAGATCTTTTGCTCATAGGGTTGCTATGAGTCATACTCCATTCATGGTATCTAACAACAACAATGGGTCCCACTCTGTCCTATTGTTGTTGTTGTTGTTATGTACCATCAAGTCACATGTGGCTCATAGCAACCCTATGCAAAATAGCTCTGAGCCTTGTCCTATCCTGAGCCAATCTCACTGTCTCTGAAAGACCTGTTTCTATTACCCCAGTCACAATCCAATCCTCCAGCGTCTTCCTCTCAGGCTCTGTCCCTCCACTCTTCCAAGCATAATATCCTTCTCCAAGTGGTCTCTTCTGGCAATATGCACAAAGTATGTGAGAGGGAGCTACAAAATCCTTGCCTCCAGACAGCAAGTTGGTTTCACCCTCTCCAAGACACACCTATTTGTTCTCTTGACAGTCCATGGTGTTATGTTCAAATCTCTTCTCCAGCACCACCATCCAAAGGCATCATTTCTTCTTCTACCATCCTTATTCATTGTCCAACTCTCTGCTGTCTTATTATATGGCTATATGCCCCAATGACTCCACAGTAGGGGGCTTAGGTTTGGGTTTGTTTTAATAGGAAAATCCCTGAATGAGGCAAACAAACAAGTGCTCA